TTTACACTACACCTTTTCCAACTAAAATGGCGTCTTAGCAACAAAAGTCACGTGACTGGCGGAGACCGATTAGGATGGTTCAGCCATAATGGTCCCTATGCAAACCTACGCCCATGCTCTGTGCCGTCATGATGCAATGATTGTACAAATAAATATCCACATATTTTAAAGACTGAAATGAAGGTAAATATTTAAATTAAAATGTTCCTGATTATAATTAAACGCAGTTCCCAATAATATGGGGTTTTAATGTCAAATTTAATGTCGGGTTATTTCTAGAATGTTCTCCAACAAACCTAAAAGGCCTTCAGGCAACAGGTATCTAGACATTAGGTTATCTCTGAAAGCAGCCGGTTGCACTGGGCATATTTCTCCATAATAAAGATTTTATGTTATGATGATCCATCGCATGAAATCCAAACTAAAATATTAGAAGGGAACATAAATACCTGCACACTCATGGAAAATTCAACAACAGGTTTTATTACTCAAATGGTAACTGTAACAGGCATGTATCAAAAATGTAAACACAGCAAATTCTTTACTAAAAAAATCTGGCTCGACACTGAAGTCTTCCCAAAAAATATGTCGCAAAAAATTGTAGACAGTTGGATCAACAGTCTTACAGTATAGTTTGGAGATTTTAATATAGATCTACTTAACTTAATTAACCATTAAAAACCTACTGAAGACTTCATTAATAACGTACTTTAACTGTAATATTCAATAATCTTCCACTGCACTTCAATTTAGATAGCTTCTGTCCAAACTTTATTCATTTAATAGTAAAACCCATTTGTATATATGCTGTTATACATAACTGTAAAAACCCTTTTTATAGTAATATCCAACTGTATATTACATTCGGTACATATCAAGCTGTAAATTTACTTCATAACACTAGTTATCTATATATTATATTCATTATTTGCAATAGAATTCATCTCTATACTCATTCAGTAGAAACCCATGTCCTGTATTTATAGAACCATTATTTATCCTGAACTTGCTGCTATTGTACTTCTGGTTAGACCTAAACTGCATTTCATTGCCTTGTACCTGTACCTGTGTAATGACAATAAAGTTGAATTTAATCTAATCTAATTTAATCTAATCTAATTAATACCAATGTACAGTTTGAGCCTTTTCCCCAAATCACTATACCAGCAGGATCACACTTAACAGTGCCACATTAATAGATAATATATTTACTATGTTAGATAACAATATGTTAAGTGGATTAATAGTTCAGCATATTAGTGAACATCTTCCAGTCTTTGTTTTAGGGACAATTTCTATATATAAAATAAGGATAAAAGTAATCCACAGTTTAAAAGAGTAAGAACAGAGGAAACCCTCAAATCTTTCAAAGAGGATTTATTGAAACATAACTGGGAGTCAGCATA